ATTAATAAATCTAAATAATCTAAATAATCAACATTGTTTTTTTTTTTTTTTTTTTTTTTTTTTTTTTTTAAATTGAAATATAAATAGATAAAAATTTTCTTAATATTTTAGCAAATGATTATATAATTTTCAAAATGTATGGATAAAAATAACTTTTAAGCATAATAATTTATATAAATTGTTTGTTTTATCAAGTGGAAAAAAACCGAGTTCAAGAGAATGCTGATTAAAAAAATTTATTAAATTAAAATTGAAATATTAAATATTGGTTTAAAATGAGTAATAAAATAGGATTATCAACTACGGAGGCATTAGAAATTCTTCATCATGAAATTGAACGTGTTTTAATTGAATATAAAGTTGACTATCATAAAAATAAGTAAGTTTGTCGTGTATTATAAAAAAATAAAAAATTTTATTTTTTTAATTATTCTATTACTATTATTGTTGTTAAGCTTCTTTTTTGTTATCATCTTTTAATATAGTTTTTTTGATTTTTAGAAAATTTCATTGTTGGTTAAAAGATTCACTCCATCACAAAAGTCAGTATACAACACTTTGTTGGACATCAGCTGTTGCACTGTTTATAAATGCCATCATCTTAATAATTGCTTATTTAAATATTAATCAACAGAGGTAAGATATTAATATATTAATATACATCATCACTATATTATTAATTATTAATTATTAATTATTATCTGTTATCACAGTGATCAAGTTTCATTATTGCCATATGAAGCACTTATTATCTGTTGTTTTGTTATATTAAATTTTGTGTTAGTAATATCAGATAATATTTTACGTCATAACGAAATACCTCACAGGGTTAACATTCTTCTAAAAAAAATAAACGGTATAAATAATATACATATTATTAAAAATACTTGATCAGTAATCAAAAAATAAAATTTAATTTATTTAATTTTATTTTATTTTTTTTTCAGCTGCTCGTTTATTATGTAAATGGAAACCGGAAAATTATCCACATCTTTGTACTCCCCTTTCACCTTGCGTAACTCTACAGTGGACATATCGTGATAATGTTATTGTTAATTTACCATGGGCTTTACTAGTTACTGGTGATATTATTATAATAAAACCCGGTCAACAAGTACCTGGTTATTGTATTCCATACAACGTAAGCTTTAATATTAGTCATTATATTAATATATATATATATATATATATATATATTTATTGTGCCTTAGTTTATTAAAATTAAATTTTTTTTTTTTTATGTTTTAAGGATCCTGATGGCTCACCTTTATATGCTAAAGAAATTTATAGCCCAAATGTTAATCACAATACAAATGAAATATTTACATCACCTCAAGCTCGAATTCCTTTAAAAAATAAAATTTACATATTAAAAGAAACCCCTTATTTAGTTAATTTACGAATGGCTTTAGATCAAGCACTTGATCGACCAGTTACTTATCATAATCGCAAACGTCATTTACTTATGATTTGTTGCATTGAACAATTGACCTATCCTATTCTTTTAATAACTGTTTTAATTGTAAATTTATTACGATATTTATATTTTTACAAGTATGCTGGTACTGGCCACTGGACTGAATTATTTTTATTACAACCAATAGCAGTAACACTTCCATTATTGCCAATTATTTTTCCAATATTTTGGATTGTTTTAAATTGTTTTGGTATGGCAAGATTCAAAGCTTTATTTCAACTTTATCAATCTTCTAGTAAAATTTCGGTAAGTTTTATTAATAATAAAAATTGTATTTTTTAAAAATTTTTTTTAATATATTTATAGTTTGTAGATCCATATGATGATACAGATATAGCAGGCCCAAATAATCCTGAGGTTGTTTATAATTGGTCAGAATTGGCGGAATATTTTTTTTCAATAATTATTGGCAAAGAATTTATGATGTCACGTTCAGCAAGTATTCTTCATGTATTAGGATCAGTTACAGCATTATGTTGCATTGATAAAAAAGGAATTCTATCTTGGGCCAATCCAACAGCAGAAAAAGTTTTTTTTTTACGTAATGCCAATGCGCTGTCTCGTACATCCAGGTATTTTAAATGGAATTTATATTTTTTTTTTTTTTTTTATTTTATTTTTATTCTTCCCTCTTTCCCAATATAACAGTGTATTTATTTATTTAAATTTTAGTTCTATTAGCCTTGAAAAACCATCGGAATCGCCAAGAACAACAACAGAACCTCTATATAAAAATGAACAAGAACAACATCACCAACAGCATGAACAAAAACAACAACTGAAACAAGAACAAGAACAAGATAAAGAAGAAGAACAAAAACAAAAACAAAAACAGCAACAGCAACAGCAACAAAATCACCGTACAACATATGTTCAACATGGTAAATTTAATTTTTCCTTTTATTATAATTAATATTAAGTATATGTATATTATAAAAAAATTATTAACATTATAATTTTTTTAACTTTAGTTGCTGAAGTTCTTGATTTAACTCACGATCATGCTTTACCATTTCGTCTTCAATTTGATGATCCTTCCTGGAGACATCATTTAAATTCTCTAAAACCCTTGGGTTTAGCGATATTACTGAATACGTGTAATATGGAAACTCAAGAACATTATGCTCAATTTTGTTGTCACGTTACTTGTGAAGCTTTTTACAATGAAAATTTAGTTCCAGTAATAAATAGAAGGTATATTCATTTGAAGATTTAAAATTTATATCTCAATCTAATTATACAAAAAATATTAAAATAATAATAATTATTATAAATACATATACAAAATCGTATATTTAAGTATATTATTTATATGTACGTAAGTAAACTTTAACAGCTTGGCTTCTTTAAATATATTAAATAATAAATTTGTCAGCAACCACAACAATGACGATAAAATTGATTCAAACAAGAACGATACAGTTATGCAAAGTTCGAGGCAAATAAATTTAATCGTCGAGGAATTTGAAAACATTGGAAAGACGGGGTCAGTTAAAATATATTATTTATTATAGTTTTCATTTATAAAAACTACTCGCAATCTCTTTATAAACTATAATAATATTATTTTAATCTTTACTGTAAATATAGTAATAATTGATAATTAATAATAATAATTTTCACTTTTAATGTTTCTTACTATAAAATAAACCTCGAACTATGTAAATAAATCTTAACCATAGACTACTTTTACTTTACTTTTACTTAACATTTATTTTTTTATTTTTACTCAACTAAACGTTAATTTATTATATTCATAAAATTATTATGATAATAATAATTATTATTATGTTTTAATTTTATTTTATAATATTTAAAATTGTTTAATCTAACAGGTGTTTATGTGAACTTGCAAAACAAATTGGATTTCAAGAACAGGCACAAGAAATTTTTCAATTGGAACAACAGCTATCAACCTTTCGACATGTTGTACGTATATAGTATGATAATTTTTTTTTTTTTTTTTTTTTTTTTTTTAATTTTTCCAAAATAAAATAGTGTAAAAAATTAATTATGTCTTGATATTTTAAATTTAGCAACCGGAAATGGTCAGACGTGATATTAAATTCGCAAGATCATTAAGTATTGCTACAAAACTTAAATTTCCTTTCCCTCATATGGTTGCAGTTGTAATGAAAGAACGTACCGGTGGTAGTTTACAATTATTAACTCAAGGTACTGCGGATATTATTTTAGACTCATGTATTGAATTTTGGGATGGACATGATCTTTGTCCATTATCCGCTTCTGATAGGTTGGTTAAACAATTTACAATAATTTTATTATTATATATATATATATATATATATATATATGTTTAAATAGACTTAATTTATTTATTTATCTTTATTTATAATATGTAGAAAAAAAATTCAAGATTTTTATCAACGGACTAGTTTAACGTCTTACTGTACTGCGTTTGCATATCGACCATTGATTCATACCGTCAATAATAAATTATCAAATATTTATTTAGAACTTCCATCTGATAGTAAACACTTGTATGCACCTCATAAAAGTCCAACTCCAGTACCTTGGGATTTTCGAAATGTTATAGATCCACGTGTTAAAGGATTACTAGGGCAATTTCATTCAACAGGTAAGCCCATTTTTTCAATATTTAATAAAATTATGATAATTATTTATTTTTAAAAGTAATATTAATATATTAATCTATTTATTATAGATTCCTTACTTTGCACAGAAAATAAAAATGAAGAAATAAATGATGTTGACAGTTGTTTCGAAATGCAATGTAATCAAATATTCATTGGAATGGTAACAATGCAGTATCAAGCTCAAGCAGATATGGTTCGTATTTATTTATTTATTTATTTATTTAATTATTATTATTACTATTTAAGTTAAAATGAGAGTAATATTATCAAATTGATGCTTGTAAATAATAATAGTAATAGTTTTGTTTAAAATAATTGTTGATTGATCATTGACAATTATAACGATAACGCTGACGATATGTATGTGAAATTAATAGGTACAATTGATTGAACAATTAGAAAGAGCGTGCATAAGATTTGTTCACTTCAGCAAGGAAAATGAATTACGTTCGCGTGTATTCTCAGAGAAGATGGGTCTTGAGAGTGGATGGAATTGTCACATTTCATTGCTGAGCGAGAGAGCTAGGTATTATCTATCATCTTATCATATAATCAAGCGGGGAATAATAATAATAATAATAATAATAATAATAATAGTAATAATATAAATGATAATTTTCTTTTTATTAAAATAAATTTATCCTACTAATAAATATTAACAATAAGCACTAATGAACAATAATCTGATTATATTAACAATTAATATATTTAATAATTAATGTAAGTAACATAATTGATGCATGGTGTTAACCATAGGAGAAAATAACGATTCAAGTTGTAACACTTTACATTATGATAATTTCCACCATCATTAAATAATTTATGCTTGCAAGCATGCTTATATTTTTTGTTGTGTATTGAATTATATACTAATATGATATAACAATTTTGCGATCAATTAATAATTAAGATTTTGGAGTGTATACTATTTTTTGTACATATTATCATTATTATTATTATTATTATTATTATTATTATTATTATTTTTATTACTATTATTTTTATTTTACGTGTATGTGTGTAACTAACAAAATGACAATAGGTCAGAGAGTCCAGTAGGGTGTTGGGTGAGCCAAGCAGCTGCTATGTCCTCACCAACGTCTTCTGATAAATTTAATCAGTATAATACTGATACCTGCATGATGAACGAAGAGGCCAGCGAATTGCTTAATCGTGTATGTCCTCGGTATGTTATTGAACATTTTACTTACCGAGGAATTTAATTTATTAATTATTTATTCATAATCATGCTCATATTCATATTCATATTTGAATTATTACTTTATTACTATTATTTTCAAGCTATTTTTTGCTTTAAAATATAATAAGCTTATCGATATTTTATATTATAAACAATAAATGTTTTTTAATACGATTATTATTATATTTTAAGTTTTTATATAAATTTTTTAGTTCTAATTTGGATGTCAGTCGAACAATGAGTATGTCTGCACCTAGCGCAATAAATATGGATTATGCAACTGTTAAATTTGAACAAGATACAACAGAATGGCATCAGGATTCTGTTATGCAAACTAAAAGTGCAATGAGTCATAGGTTTGTAAATAAAATAGTAATAAAAAAAAAATCTAAATCACTATTTTAATTTTTATTTATTTCTTCTTTAGGGAACATGATACAATAAAAAGTGAAGACAGTGTATTGGTTCAAAGTGTTGAATTAGGATCTGGACAAGAAGCTTGGAGATCGTTGAGCTGTCTTACTGATAGTACTGAACAGAGTGCTCCAGTTAATTTTGATTTATCCAACAGAGTCAGTATTACATACAATATTAATAATAAATTTTTGTAAACAATGTCAAAAGAATTATATTACATTATTATAGGCAAAATTACCTCGAGGAATAGATAAAATACGTCCGCATATTGAAATGGTTGACAATGTACCTTTATTGGTATCGTTGTTTACCGATTGCAATACAATAGTAACTCGTGAAATGTTAAATATTATGCAAGATTATGGTGAAGTAGTTTGTGTACTTGGTTCATCGGCAAATGCTGATAATATGCCGATATTTATGCAAGCAGATGCAGGGTAACAATTGAATAGAATACTTTTTTTTTTTTTTTTTTTTTTTTTTTTTTTAATTATAAAATTAAAAAAAAATAATAATTATTTTTATAAAATAGAGTTGCTGTTGAACCGTTGTATCCACAAGTTTGTCAAAAAATTCCTGTTATGGTAAATACAAATGATGAACAAGGCCCATCACCAATTGATTTAAGCCGAGCTCTTAATTCAATAGCTTGTTCATTATGTGTAAAACGTGAAGATCCGATAGCTTTATTTCACCTTGTAATGGAGGTAAATTTTTTCATTTTGTTTTCTTTTATTTATTTAACTTTTAATTTTTAATTATTTAAAGGCAAGGGATTACATGAGATGTTTATGGAATTGTGTTCAATTTTGGTTGTGTTGTATTGTAACACTTTCATTTACCCAAGCATTATCAGTATTGTTATTATTACCACCATTATTTTCAATAAGCCAAGTTATCTGGTTAATTTGTTTAATTATTCCTCTATTATCAATATCAATGATGGCTACACCAATTGACCCTACAATAATGCAGAGAGCTACCGGAAAAAATCAGTGTGTTGTTAATAGCAAGGTATACTTATTTTTAAATAATAATAATAATAAAAATAATTATAAATTAACTAATTGAAATTTTTCTTTTTTAGGTTGCCTTTTTTGTTATTTGGTGTTATGGGAGTAAATTTTTACCTACAATAATAACACTTGTATTATCACAAATGATTTTTTACATGTTTTTATGTCCATTATATAATATAAAAACTACATCAACAAACACAATAAATACAGAATGTTTTTATATATATCTTGAAATTAATGATAATGATGTTAGTTGGGGTGGATGGAATACCCAACCAAATATTATTTTTATGATGCAACATTTTTCGCTAACTTTGTTAGTTTTACATTTTGGTGTGTGTGTATATACTACTACTATACTTGAAGAATTTATTAAAATTCTTTGTAATTAATTAATTATAAGTATTTTATACAATAATAATCATTTATATAATTTTAGTAATAATCTCATCAGGATTTGTACATAGAGAGTATTTGATATTTCAAAGAATGCCATTTAATAATTTATTATGGTTTTGTAATATAGTTATTGTGTAAGTATTTTTTTTATTTATACAATAATTACATTTTCATCTATTTATTTTTCTTTAAACGTTAATTTAATTTAATAATATTATTAACTATAATTTTTACAGTTTAGGATTACAGGTTCTTTTTTCTGGTAATACATTGTATAAATTATTGAAAGAAGAGCAACGGAAAAATCAAAAATTTCCAGTTCAACTGCCATTATTTTTCCTTATATCAATTCCACTAGCTTTCACTATTAACGAATTGGTTAAGTGGCAAGAAATAAAGTAAGTTTAAATATATATATATTAAAAAATGATAATACATTAAAGAAAGTAAAAAATTTTATAAGTTTTAATTCTTGAATCTTTTTTTTTTTTTTTTTTAGAGCAAATGTACGTCATCAAAAAAGGGCTCGATTAGAGTTTGGTACAAAACTAGGAATGAATTCGCCGTTTTAATTAATTCATTTATTAATTAAAATATATTCAGAAAAAGATAAAAAAATATTTTTATGTTAATTTAATGCATTTAATAATAATGAATTATAAAAAACTTAATATAAACTTTGGGTTTTAATTAAAGCTTAAACTTTATGCTCTAATGTTATATATTTACAAGTACAATAACCGCTTAATCAATGTATTACAATTATTTACAAAATACTTTTTTATTAAATTTTTCTATGATTATATATATATATATATATATATATATATATACATATATTTAGTAATCATTAATTTTATTAAAAAATAAAAAAGAAAAAAAAACTACATTACACGACAAAATTTTTTTTATCTTAACTTGATGAATTCAATTTTTTTTTCAAACTTTATAAATTTTTTTAATAACTATAATGGCAATTTCAACAAAATATATGATAGAAAAAATTACAACACAGTGCGCCGTTTCGTACAATAACTTTGGAGCAAAAACTGACCATACAAACAAATGATGTCTTTCAATACTTATTATGATTGTGTATGTTATAAACGAAAATAATTTAAATATTGCATATTGACGATTAACGAAATGTACTTTTTGGAAGAATCTATTTGATAAAAAATTGATAAAATTTTTAATTTATATAAATATATATGTATATATAATTTTTTTAATAAGTTATAAAATTATATATTTTACTTACTCTATCGTATTTGAAGTATCATCCAATGTAATTTTAAATACTAATATTAAGTAAGCTAAAACAGGTGATGAAAATGTATTTATACATATAAATAACGCAGCAATGTAAATTCTGTAAGTTTCTAAACCAACACAACTTGCAGCGACATCAATAGTTGCCAAACTATTGGAGTTACCCTGAAAATGATCAAATTAATAAATGGTATAACAAATAATTGTATAAAAATAAATAAATAAATGTGTATATAAATATATACTAATAATAATAATAATAATAATAATAATAATACCTGGTAAAAATAAAAAACATTGCCTATACAATAACTTGTAAATGTTAAAACCTTTAGATTATCTGTAGTATTTATTAAAAAATTACTGATAATAATTTGAGTTATTAATTGAATTGGTAACAATATTATGTTATAAGGTCGGTGTAGTATGGCCGATATAATAATCCAATATTGTAATGACAAATAGAACAATTGATTTATTAGAATTTTGTAAGTATTTTTTGGATAAAAAATAATATTTTTTATAGAATATATTAAATAGAATGTACAAACAACCCAAAATATTTCAACTTCGCGTATACCTCTGTGAATTAAATAAAAACATATATATCCATTATACATAAATATAAATAGAATAGCTGAAAAAAATTATCTTTAAATAATGATCTTAAAAATTTACCTAGATTGAGGATAAAAAGGCAATGTATAGATGTTTTTTTCTGATGCATGACGTAAATATATACAGAGCAATGTGAAAGAATAAAAAAGTAACTTATCTTTTTTCTGCTTCAATTTATTTTTTTCATCATTTTTAACTATAAATAGTAGAACATAGAGAATTAATCCAAGAGCTGAAAATATTATTAATAATATAACAACATGATTAAAAATAAGAAAAAAAAAAATCATTAGTAAAGAAGAAATTTTTTTTTTAATTACCAATTATTACGAATAAGGTCATGTAAATATCAGAATATTTAGATTCTTTCAACCATCCAGAAATGTCGGGTAAATTAGCATATTTATTTCCAGTACTATTCAATTTTCTCAAAAATCGATGTAAAATAAGCAAAAATATAATTTTTATATTGTTGCTATTTTCTTTTGTAATATTTTTTGACCTTTGTTTGATACAATAAATTAGTATAATTACAAGGGATGTTGTCCAGTAAAAATACCATGTTTGATGTTCTTCTTCAATAAAACTACTGCTACCTAAACTTGCAGCATGCAGCCCAACAGCCAAATATAGCATAAAAATTGAAAATGAACATGAAAATTTACTACTAGTCCAAAATATTGATAATTTAAATGGGAAAACGGTTCTTGTACACATTAAATAAACATTTAAATTAAATAGTATAAAAATAATTAAAATAAAAGCTATTGGTAAGTCGTTAAATTTTAAAGAATTTTCAATATCATTTATAAAATTGATGAGTATATAATTTAATGAAAACCATGATGCGACTGAAAATGACCAATAGTAAAAAAACTTTTTTAATAGAAATACTTTATTGATCGAATTATTAAAATTAATAATGATGAAAAAAACCTAAAAAGATAATAAAGTTACAATAAACTAGTATACTGTTTAAAGAAATAAAATTTTAAATGCTTACTTGAATTGTTAATACAATGGCTATAGTTATTAATGAAATATTGTATTGAATGATACTTTGAACTAGTAAATTTTTCATATCTTTTAAAGACTCGAGGTATAATGTAATAATTTTCTCGGAAACAGTATTATCAAAATTACTTTCATTGTTGGAAGAATTAATCCATTCATTATGTAACTTGACGGCTTTTAAATAATTCAAATAACATTCTGTAACAATAAATATATTTTATATTAAGTATCAAATAACGAAAAAAAAATTGAATGAAATGAAAATAATATAAATACCAACGTTTCGAATGAAAGTTTGATAATTTTTTAAAATGATTGAGTACTTGTCTACCATTATAATAAAGAATATAAAGTTTTTGAGCCGATGATAGATTATAATTGATCATATTTAAAGATACGACTCCAATATTTAAATATGGTAAAGGTAGTCCCAGTATAACAGCTAAAGTCGTCGTTATATCAATTTGATCAATTTGATTTATCATTTTGTAGTTTAAATTATTATGATTTTCATTGTAATTTCCGCCAATAATTATCAAAGGAACCAAAGTTTCTTCAGGAGTTGCTCCACCATGTCCTCCAGAATTTTTCATACCATGATCACCGCAAATAATAAATAAAGATTCAACATTTTGTTTATTCTATAAAAAATTATAAAATGACTATAGCGTTTAAATAATAGTAATAAGAATAGTAATAATAATAATAATAATAATAATAATAATAATAATAATAATAATACTGAAACACATACCCATTCGATTACTTTAGATGATATATCCTCAATAATTTTATCCATTTCTTCAAGTTTTGATTGAATTAATGGACTTTTAGGGCCATAAACGTGACCAATATGATCGAGCCCCAAATAATGAAGAATCATTATTGACCAATCATTATTATTTTCCAATTCACTATAAATGTTACGAGTAACATTATTATCTACCTAAAATGACACATTATCGACAGAAAAAAAAAATCTAATGAAAATATTGTTGATGCATACTTGCACAAAATCATTTACGAAAAATGAGCTAGTTCCCTCAGAACGATGAAATATATTAGTAAACATTTGTAACCACGTATCATCACCATAAAATATCAATTTGTGGCCATGATTTTTAGCTTGTAATAATATATTATCACTGGATACTCGTGTTTCGCCAAGATTTAAAATAACATCTATATAATTAGAAACACTCCCTGTTGTTATGGCCTAGAAATATAAAAAAATATTTAACAATTACTTTTAAATTTATTTTAACAATAATGATAATTTATAAAATAAAACCTTTATTCTTGGCATTGTTACGGTTGGGTTGTTGACTTTAACTTGGAGCAATCTTCCAAAGTTTTTTTCCAATAGTCGATTTGTAAAAATCATTGTATTATGTATTCTATCGCTTTTAGTAGAAACAAAATCCCATCTTAATGAATCAATAATCATAATGACAATTTTTTTGACTAGCGGCTTGTACAAAATATTCGAATTCAACCTAAAAAAATAACAATTGATTAATAAGAATTTACGTTTGCAGAAATCAAAATCAATTAGGTAAAATGAATCATAAAATATACATACAAAGTTTTGTTGATAGATTTTGGTAAATCATTCATAGATGCTAATTTATCATTATCTTTTAAAGAGTTTAATGGAAAAAAACCAAATAAAAAAAAGCTTACAGTAAAAAATACTGTCGAAATAGCATAAACAAATAATAAATTATTGCAATGATTTTTACGATTATTGGAGCTATTCATTATCGTATAATCAAATTTACTTTCTGATTAAAAATAAATAGTAGAGAAATAAAAAATTTTAACTACACGGAAAGAACAAAAACTCACTGTAAATTTAATAATAATAATAATAATAATAGACACGCTCACGAGATGCACGATCATATATATATATAGACGATTAGACATTTATATATATATAGACGGTGAGCATATGTGAAGTTTAAGTCACCTATAATATATATAACCTATAACCATAACCATCATAGTTTATATCCGAATAAGACACGATAGTGTCTCGCGCCAAGTACACGTCCAACATATGGCGTGAGACAACGTGTCTTTATTCTCTAATCATAAGTCAACATAACCTCTTTACATATTTAGCTCTATATTTTTTATTATTACTAAGACACTAACACTTTACACCATTGTTAATAAGTTTCTTTTTACCAATTATACATATATTACAAAAAAATGTTGGGTCTTAACAATTATTTAACTAATCGCGAGTTTGAAAATTTTTATTTGCGCCTGTTTTCGATTCTACGAGAGATTTTACAAATTTAGGGCGAATTTTATTATTTCGAAGTTGGCACTACTTAACTCTGTTATTCTACCATCTAAATATTTATTTTTATTTATTTATTTATTTGGTTTTAATGCCAAGGCGTTAAGCCGAATGGCAAATTTTATATACAAAGATAGTGTTCAAATAAGTACAATAAATTTTGAGGTATTAATAGAATATATAAAACAAATTGCAATTATGACAAGAGTGTAAATCTAATTATTATATACATCACAATATTATGTTATTTTCCAGCATACTATAATTTTTAACTATTCATTACTTATTAGAAAATCGAACAATTTAACTTTGAAAGTCTCTAAACTAAGAACATTTACAATCTCAGGTGGTAAGTCCTTCCATAACCGGATAGCTGTTACTACAAATGAATGCTCATAGGTCGTAGTAGCAAAATTTGGCATCTTGAAGGAAATATTATTCTTAGCTGCCAGCCTATCTGATCGCCTAATTTCAGGATCTTCTTCTGTGAATAATCTACGTAGAAACTTCGGTTCACCCATTGTTATTAATTTGAAGAATAAACAAGCCAGATAATACAGTCTTCGTGACTTTATATTCAGCCAATTTAGTGAACGTCGATATGGTGTGATATGTTCATCACGTCTCAAACTATAAATGAACCGAATGGTACTATTTACCGATCTCTGTAATTTGCTTTCAAGTCTCTTGGATAAATCTACCAGCACAACTGAACAATAGTCGATAATAGGCAATATCGTGGCAGACACAATTAACTTGCGCAAGGAAGGAGACAGGATATTTTTCCTGCGCTTTAGGCTATTTAAATAGCTAGTATACTAAATACTGAACTTAGCGCCCATAAGTAGTTGGTCTTTAGTTTAGAATTTCAATATACGACAGTAGGTGGAGCCACAAAACCATTACCACTGTATTTTAGAAGCACATTGGTCAGTCACGCGCATCATGTAAAGTAAAAATATTGTAATACTACTACTCTCTCTCTCTCTCTCTCTCTCTCTCTCTCTCTCTCTCTCTCTCTCTCTCTCTCTATGCATATATACATATATATATATATATATATATATCTATACAGACCAAATGGATTTACTTTTAAAAGTTCCTCTGACATGTTTGTGGATATACAGAGCATATATTATGTAACGAATCGTAGAAAGTACCAACCGGCGAACAGGTTCTATAAAAGCATGTCCGATAAAATTCAGTAAGATACTGGCTACCCCAAAATACTCTCTGTTTTCTTTCTCAAACCATTTCTAGTAGCACACAGTGCATGTGCACGAATTTACCCCAGCTTAAAATTTATTAACGCAAGCTAGCTTACAATTCGTATTTACACTTGTTGGCTCTGCGTTTGTTTTTACATTGTTACTTTATGCTTTTAAGTTATATCACTGGGATAGTAGCTACCACAAGCAATATCTAGCTAACAACTTTTATTTTTTTATTACATAGATCACGTAAATATAAATTAATGTAATAAGGCAAATAACACTGCTAGAAAAAAAATATTTTTTTTGATGACGCTGAAAAAGGAGATTTATTTAAAGTATGAATAACGATATTACTTTTCATAGATATAAGTATACACCACTAATGAAGGCGTCTCTGACTAATGTGACAATTTTATTTTATTTTATTTTATTATTTTTTTTTTTTCTTTTTCTTTCTTACAAGAGGAAGAGTGAAACCCCCGGTTGGTTGGGAATAATCTTTCCCTCCCTTGGAGTTATAACTGTAGGCTATCTGTCAGAGCTGTCGTATTAAACAGAGTCCACAGTGGCTCAGTTCAAGCTGGTAGTTAGCATAGTACGATTATTCTGACATTGATGCACGATCCGTTTACATATCGGATCAGTTAAGTGTTTCCTTCTCATTTGTTACGGATGATACCCCGAAACACTTGAAACCCGTTATGACTGACAGTCGAAAATGTAAACAGAATTTGTTGTTTTTTTCGCTCTGTATTTAACATTAAACATTTAAAGTGTCAAAAGGTGTTAAGATTTATAAATTAAAAAATGTTAAAACCCCTTTTAATATGATCTTTTTGTTATTCTTTCACGTAATGAGATCCAATTAGGAGTTGGTGTCTGGTGATGACAACTAATTGCTGAATCTGTTCGTGCTGACTGAAAATGCTCAGGCACTTTTCCGTTAATACATTGTAACGGAACTCACAATTGGTTTCCGGCGACCGTGACTATCGAGTTTCAATTCATTGTACACCTTCTCACTGCGTCTTTCTTCTATTCTCTACTCCTTTCCATGTTATCTCTCCTCTGTTCAATCTCACCCATTGCTGCAACAATTGCACACTCCTATCTAGCCTCCTCTTTCTCCCCTTTCTTCTCTTTACCCTCTTTCGCACTCAACAACTTTCTGTGTCTCATACTATTTCCTTTGGATTCTCATTTTCATTTCCCACTTCAATTAACTAATAGACATTCGGTTTCTTATTCTTATTCTTCTTCTTCTTCATTTTATACTTTTACTTTTCTTTCTGCCGCTGAGATTGGATAGAAACTGTCATTTCGACAATTTCATCTTACACTATCAACAGAGTACTTACGTTTCTCAAATTTACTCTTAATTTCAATTTTTACAACTTAAACATTATTTTTTTGCAAAGAGTTTAATTAGAAAAAGAGAAATTTTATTTTTCCTAAACTTTATTTCTTTGTCACAGTAAATACGGAAAATTAATTAATTATATATTGATCAATAAAATTCGAATCACTGGAAAATTTCAGGCATTCAAACAATTATTTTACAAAATAAATCAAATGGATTTAATTAAGCGATTTAATTTAATTAGATTCGATCAGTGAATTTATTTATATATGTATCTATTAGAAACTGTCCACTGATGATGCTTAAATAAATTAAAATTCATCCAACTAGAAATTAGTTACATGTTATATTACGGATAATAGGAGGATTCAATATATACATATAATATGGATACATATATATATATATAATTTATTGACATATCGGACTAGCGGGTGGACTTGAAGCCGGGAAGGTAATCCGTTTTGCAGTAATTAATAGAAACGCAGACCACTAATTAAGCCTCCTGCTAGTAGCGAGAAAATTTTCAGGCGTTTGAGCACCAAGCTATAACTATCATTTACGAGGCTATTAAAAATTAACGTCTTTTGATACCGGCTTACGCGTATTATTATTATACCAAAGGTTTATCTGGAGATTACTTAATAATACCGCGAGACGAATTTACACGTTTAATACCTCTACACTCTGTACTGTAAACATAAATGACCATTATTATTATTATTATAATTATTATTAAAATTGTTCTGTCCATATTCTAGTTATCATTATTAAATTTTCCAATTATCACAGTAATTATAAACGTGTACTGCAGTTGTTAATTAATTATCTCGGGGGGTAATTTTTATTTCTAATAATTTTAATAATAATAATAATAATAATAATAATAATAGTTAATGAAAATGACTTTAAATGAATTTGATTATTTTTTTTTTTTTTTCAGAGCTTAGAGGGTGAATTTTGTAAATGAACGTTAGGTTGCGGGAAAGGAAAAGATGATAGCGAGTAGCTTGCTCACGAGCAACTACGACTAATCTTGGGGAATTTATGGAGCTGCCCGATAACATCCTCTGGGTTAACCCTTTTCCGCTTACCTTAAGTCCTCTACTGCTCTGACCCCTCACGGTGGACTCGTTAAATTTAACGTGTTCCCTTTTCTCCCTCTTTTCTAGTTAGCCGCAAGCTTTTTATTCTCCGTCGGGTTTATTGTTAAAGATAAAAATAAAAAAGTAAAAAAAGATAAAAAGAAAAGAAAAAAGATATAAGAGAAATCCAAAATGCCGGGGCACCCGGGAATGATTCACGGGTACTAAAATTATGTAGTGGAATGTAACAATGGCGAGGATTATGTGGCGAGGAATAAAAATAAAAAAAATAATAAATAAATAAACTAAAAAAAAGTGAATTGAATTAGGATTATAGAGTTGTTCAATATCTATTCAGGTCGTTGGATATTTCAACATTTTGAAATTTATATACAGCACATTGGGAGACTTGAATATGTAAAATCTGTATGGAAATTATGATGGACAGACATATAAAAATATTCATACAGGTATGTGGGTCGTATGCATTGAATATTTCCTATGAAATATGTCTCGTTTCCGTTAGTTCTCTTCTCTCTTACTCTCTGCAATATTTAACGGTCGTAGTGGCTGTATTGGATGACTAGGTTCACCGAGGCATATATACTAAAGGTGGACTGCACGCTCTGTTAGAAATTAAATCGATTCACGCATTCGTCCATTTAATTTATATTTTATGAAAAAAACATCCTACTTTATAAGTTTTTAATTTTTTTCATTTATATTTAATCTATCTATAAAAATAAAGTGATTATTTCAATCTACAAATCTAAATGTCAATTATATTAATCTAATAAAATCAAAACAAGTTATACTTAACTAATGAACATACTTCAATTTATTAAATTTCTACTTTAATTAATCGTAACTTGGTAAT